TTCATAATTTCATATACTGCAATAAAAAATCAAAGATTTTAATTTGGAATATTTAAAAATAGTTTAGAACATTTAAATAAGGTTTGACACCTCTAAATATTTGAAAATTTGATTCTGCAAGCAATTTTGGAATTAACGAATAATAGATTGTGCACGCAATATTTTCATTGGGATTCTAAAATCAAAATATAAACTCCACGCAGGAATTGATTTTGGTATTATTATATATTAAATATATGTTCATAGCATATTTGATTATACGAATAATTGGTAAATACCATAATTAGAGCATCTCCAATGTCCATCTCTATATTTTTTCTCTATTTAGAGGAGATTTTGCTACAATGTATGCCTCTAAAATAGAAGAGAAAGACAATGTATGCTTGTATATATAGAGTAATCCAATGTATCTTCTCTATTTTAGAGGAAAATCTATTTTAGAGGCATACATTTGAGCAAAATCTCTTCTAAAATAGAATTCATCTAAAATAGAGAAAAATATAGAGATAGACATCGGAAATGCTTTTCACAAAAAAAAAAAAAAAAAACACATCGGAAATGCTCTTGGCTCAAATAAATCTCTATTTCAACAACCAAAAAATAATAAATTGAAAAAGAATTTCCTAAATTAATTTAAAATAATAGCTAACTTTATTAATTAATTCAAAATAAAATACATTTTAGATGAGATTCATTTATGATATTTTAAATTTTGATCTAACTGAATTATTTGTAATCTTTTTTTGTGGATGTTAACATAAATTAACTCATTTTTCAAACAAGATTACTTTTTAAAAAATAATATTATTTATCGTTTTCATATCTTAAAATTTTTTTTATCCATAACTGAGTATTATAGAAAAAGAAAAATATATTCATTCTAATGTTATATATAGGGACCGACAAGAAAAAATTAATATTTTTCACTTACTCTTATAATATATTAAAACTTTATTGTAAAATATATATTATAAAAATTTTGTAATAAATAAAATTCAACTCGTACTATAGTACGGGTGATGATCTAGTTTGATGTACAAAAAAGAAGGGAAAATACATTTCAAAAACTAACATCTAATTATTTGAATTTTACATCATATGTCATTGACGTAAAGAACAAACAAACAAAATTCATTAAGGATAAAAGTTTCTAAACAATTAGATCTACTATCCCTATTACCATGCATAGTCTAAAAAATCTCACTCTACTATCTATGTAACCAAACAAGTCAACAATATGTTTTTAAAAAATATATTAATTAGTTTATGCAAATTTAAAATTGAGAAAATGAAATTTAAATATTCATCTCCAATTATTTTTAATTACTAAAAATTAAAAATGACTTCATCAAAAACCTATATTCAAGATGTTCTATACAAATAATCAATTCTTATATCACAATAAAAAAAATAAGTTGTAATCTACCCCATCCATCTGAAGTAAGAAATTGATGAACTCACTTCTTTCGCTTTTACATATGTATGCATATAGTTGTTGCTTCTAATACATATATTACTTTATTTATTGATGTATTCTTGAATCAACTTTATCAAAATTATAAACTTTTGATTTGAAATAATTTCATTTAATACAAATCTTATTATATAAAGTATTATTTTCAAAGTTAATAACTCATAGGATCGTGCCACGTTTCAAATTTATCGATATCAGATTTTGTCACAAGCGTAAAACAAAAATTTCCTTTTATGTAATTTTTAAAAAATAAAGAAGATAATTATAAGGAAACTATATGTATCTTATTAAATAAAAATAGAAATTACAAAATCATCTACTAATTCTAGTTTAAAGCTACTAATTCTAAAAGAAAGAGATTATTTTTCCTTAAAAATTAAAAAAAATTAAGAAATTATACAAATAACTAATAAAATACGATAGTTAAGAAGATTCTACAATCAAAAAGATTTAAGAAATTATAAAATTAATTAATAAAATACAATAATTAAGAAAATTATACAATCAATTAATCCTAGAAGAAAAAAAGATTTTAAGTAGAGGGCTCTATAAAAACAAAAAAAAATCTTCAAAAGAACCACCATTGCTTCAACTTCGATCTATTGTCAAAGCTTTTTTTGGATAAAAATCGTTTATTTTTCTTAACCATGCAAAAAGGAAAATAACAATTAGTTTACATGTGTTATTAGTCAATAAAATTTGGCATGTATTAGTCAATAAAATTTGCAAAAGTAATGAGTTTATAAGAATACATTTTTGATTACTTGATGATAATATTATTATAGTTATACTTTTTTTTTTCTAAAAATTTGAAATAAGTGAAAACACCAAAATTTGGAAAATTGGCATATAGGAATTAATTTACGATTACTTGATGAGAACGTTAGTATATTTTTATTTATGTTTTATTTATTAATTTTAAGTCAATTAATATTAGTTTGACATGAGGTAAATTTAACTTATGAGATTAAGACATATATATATATATATATATAACAATATTTTAATTTCCAAAAAGATTTGTGCCTTTTTAATTTTTTAATATATTTGATATTTGTTATTTATTTTAATACTAACTAAGATATATATTTGATATGATATACATTTTATTTTGATATAAACTTTTTAGCACTTATCTATTAAGATGAAGTGTGTGTGTAGAATTAAAATCTATCGTCTTCATATACAAATCTTGGTTTTCAAAATTAGTAACTCATGGGATGGTGAAATATGTCAAGTCTATCAATCAAAATTTGACACATGTAAAAAGAGAAATTATATAAATAAATAAAAATATGTGATGATTTAATTTAACATTTAAATTATTTATTTTAATTTCCTATCCAATTGGAAATATGTAATAGAAAATATTTTTCATGTTAACATGTATTTTTTAAAAATATGATTGGGTGTAAATACACAATTTTAATAATAATATAGATAATAGGTTTGTAAATGGAAGTAATAAGATGACTGTTTAACCAATAGGTTGCGTGTAAAACATTTTTTGAAGAACTTGTGGAATTATATTTTAAGTGACACTAGGGTAGTTACCCGCGCCTTACGCGGCCAAGCTTAGTTGATAAAAAGAATTAAGTTATGAAAACAAAGTTAACGGGTTTTAAAATACCATATAATTTTTACAATTAGGTAAGATGTTTGCAAAGTTTAAATTCAATTGTAACAACAACTATGTAATGTATTATGTATATGGAAACAATGTCAAGTATATGACAATAAAAATACTATAATTTTAAGATGGCTATTTCTCGTATTTTGTAAAACAATTAAGAAATTGTTATCGCATGTTCGTAATTCGGAAGCATAGAGATATCTATTTGCAAACTTACATATAAAATCATTCCAAGTCTTAGTAATATATTACAACGCATAAGAAAACATATCAAACTTAGAGTTTTCATATTATTGGATAAAGAAAGCAATATAAAAGACTAACACATACCAATATTCCAAATAGATTTATTTAGTAGTTCCTCACACATCATATGGCAAGATCATTTAGTTCTCATCGACAACTTCCCCAAATTCATCCGGATGAATGGTAGACATGAATTCATATCTATGTTAAAAACAAACAAAAAGGTTAGCTAGAATAATGAAACTTTGTAAGCACTTATTTTTTAGAAAATAGTACGTAAATGAAGTTTACATAAAGTGATTCTTATCAATTTCGGAGAAGTCACGATTAATAAACTCATTTGAATACCCATCTCCGGACATTAGACATTGTTTCCCTAATCATATATGTGAAAATCTCATAAGTCACAATAGTAACAAATAAAAACGATTCTCCAATGTAAAACTTATACATATATATGTTTATCACTTTCGAATTCATTACTCTCCAGAATTGGAGTACACAAAAGATCGGATCCAATCCATAGTTCCACTAATACCCAAGATCATAGCCATTATTTCTCAACATACCTACAAATTGATGACAATATTTTCTTATAGCATAACATGTTATCTTCACGCCAGTGGAAAAAAATATATCATAATGAATTAGAAATTTTAAACGACCTCATAATAATGATCGACATTACTATGGTTATATAAATTAAACTAAACGTATCAAAGTAATTTATTTTTACTTGCGGTCTCGTAGTTGAAAATCAAGAATCTCACACTCATTAGGATACTCATAATCATCGCCCACATAAAGGATTATAGTAACGTTTCCAACTTTGGCAATATCACCATACACATCTAAAATTTGAAAGTAGAACTCTAGAAATTTCATTATTTAACGAATTTAAAAATAAGTCTATCGATTTATATATAAAATATACATATATACATACCATGACAAATTTTCTTGGCTATCAAGCCATTGTTGATGTTTACAAATAAAGCAAAGTTGAAGATATTTGCATGCGATCTTGGACTAACATGGTCCGTAATTGTTTCTTGGAAACATTTGATTTTTTAAGATGACCCGAGTTCCTTATCTTCTTCGGAGGATCAATGAGTTGGAAGTTTGTCATGAGGTACCATTCTCCCTCCATGAGGTATCTCTTGAAATATTTTTTGTATTGGATCGGAGGAATAATAGCATCAATTAATCCGGGTTCCCTTGAAAAACAAATAGAAGTTCATGTTAGCTCAAGAAGACTTTAGTTATGTAAAAAACTAAAGACCAACATAAATCAACAAAATTACCATCTCATCTATGAGTATCATATCTATACACTTACCTAAAAAAATTTGTTTGTTTTAAAAACTCTGAAATTTAAAACTACGTACACTATTGATTCCAAAAAATAATAGTATAAGGATGCTTCGGAGTTCTTTTGTCCTCATTCACACTTTTCAACCGAAAGTGATGAATAGCTATCTAGTTACTATTTTTTATTATGAGATGAGTTCAGATTTTATTTTAGTTTCTATACTATGATCCTATTTATCTGAACATAGAAATAAATTATAAAAATTTAACTAATCAAATCATTTTTAAGCAATCTCAAATAAGTCTATAAAAAACATGTGTACCTGCTGATCAGCCAAACACTACACGAATAGATCGATGACCTCTTTCAGACCATTCCCGCTATTTGTTTAACACCTTCATTTCGTTAGACCAACAAAATTTAATAGGTCTCAAATTGTCGACGTCATCATCTATAGCTTCCCGTTTCGTGAGAAAAAAGAACGAAGAGTTTTGATTTTTTTTTTGATAAATCGAAGGATCTAACCAAAAGTCACCTTCTTAATTATAAAACGCATAATAAATGAAAAAACTTTTTAACTTTACGATTTAAATTTTCGAATGTTATCCACTTGTTTTAACTTTTCCTAGGCATGGCCTTGTACTATCAAAACGAAATCTTACAAAGCCACTATCAAGATATATATGAATCTAGACCATGCAAAAAAAGACAAACAAAAGATGTCTAGGCTATCATCAATCATCATAATGGAGGTGATCGTTTTGTCCAATACAAACACGACCTCGAGCCATTAGCAAACCAATTTTGGTTTTACTGAACATGTTATCAACAATTAAAATTTTAAACTTGTGTATCTAGGTCACAAAACGATTAAAGATATGCATGTGATTTATATAGAGATTTCATAATATAAAAAGTGAAATATCGTGCCCCACTTGGGTTTAGTTAGGTTTTAAACCAATATTTGTTTATACTTATGTGAACATGATTAGCTTGACTTATTGGTGTTCACATAAATGAAGAGTCATTAATTTATATAGAATAATTATTAAAATACGAATTTATATAATTACTAAAATACGAAGTTATATGGATATATAAGTATATAAATTTATATTACTAAATTTTTGTTCGTGAGATGATAATTTAAAAAATTATACGAAATTAATACCAATAAAATCTGCTCCAACGAATAATCATTAGCAAAATAAAAAGAAAAAACAAAGAAACGTAGATGCAAAAGTAAATAATGAAAACACCAAAACAAATTTAAAAAAAAAACGAACAAACATACTAAATCCTGATAACACTATATCCTAACTTCTACCAAATAAACTTAAACTAATATGTAACTCCGTCTAAATGTTTAAAACTGTACTCTAACCCTAAAATAGAGAATGAATTTAACTCTCTTTTGTGATCAACTGTTTTTTTTTTCTTTTTTTTTTGTGAAATGGTTCGTAGATGATTCAGTTTTATTTCCATTATGAATTAATAATATCAGCGACAAAAAAAAAAAAAGAGAACTACTTACTAAAATAACAGTTTTAAAATTATAAATTCTGCATGTCGGCTCATAATCCTCTGGGATGTTACAGACGACAACAAACTTAAGTAACTCACAAAACCCTTTTTTCTCGAATATACGTTTTTAACCCATCGAATAACCAAGAAAATATGAATGCAGAGTTTGCAGTCCTTCAAAATTTATCCTTAAATGACTCTATCAACTTTGTTTTTTTTTTTTTTTGCTAAAAACTCTATCAACTTTATTTCTAGCTTTGACTTTGTTATAAGAACGTTTGTAGTTTTAAGAGCTAGATTCTTAGGTTTTTCATTTTTGGAATTGATTTTTTCCAAAATAACAACACTACCAATAGGCTTTTCTCCGAATCTTATCCATGAATGCTCTAAATAATTGCAATGATTTTAATGTAAAATTAGTAAAGCATTGCTATTGAACGGATTGGTTCTTGACAAACAGTAGAAACAGTCTTATACACAACAACATGAGAGGTGGTCTACCAACGGAGAGACGACAACCCGTCATGAAAATGGTGGACCAAAAAGTGCAGGTCACTTTAGGGAAAGGTGATGCATCTTTTAGAGAGACACCGACGGTAATTATGAGGATAAGTCCAACATGTCCAACAACGCTCTTTGCGTAACCTCCTCCGAATAGAAGAGCACACACCTGACACATAAAAGAAAGCCCGGAGTTAAAAAAAAAAAAAAACACTTTACATTTCAAAAGTAATTTAGTGACTTAAGTCTACACTGAAGTCTGCCATAAATCTATCAATGATGATTCTATCAATGATAATTGATATAAGACTATTCAAAAAAAGATGAAACACAAAAGATCTAAGAGGTAAAATTTTGAATATAACAAATTTGGTGATGGTACAGGAATTAGAAGGGAATGTTGTAATGAGTGGCAAAGTTCTTGTTAATGGCAAGAAGAAAAGACTTAACTTTGGTGCTGCCGTAAGCAAATCTATCTTTCAATCATTAGTTTTACCTTTTTACATAATCAAACTATTATCCATTAATGTCCTAAACACTAAATAATAACTCCTTTTTTAAAAAAAAACTGTTGAGAAACTCTCATGCTTAAGTGACGTAAGAAGATGTGTTGCTAGGAACTTTAACAGTGAGAGAATCCATATCTTACTCAGCTCATCTCAGGCTCTCTTCAAAGCTTACCAGAGAAGAGATCAGTGACATTGCGGAAGCTACAATCACTGACATGGGTCTTGAAGAATGTTCAGACAGGACCATTGGAAACTGGCATTTGCGTGGAATAAGCGGAGGAGAGAAGAAACGGCTCAGTATTGCCCTCGAGGTCAAGTCTCCTCTTTCTAGAGAAACCAACCAGTGGATTGGACAGTGCTTAAGCTTTCTTCGTGGTTCAGATTCTTAGAAACATAGCAAGCAGTGGCAAAACTGTGATTTCTTTAATCCATCAGCCGAGTGGTGAGGTTTTCGCCCTCTTTGAAGACCTGCTACTTCTGCCTGGAGGAGAAACCGTTTACTTTGGCCAAGCAGAATCTTCAACAATGGTAATAAGAGAGAAAATAATTTTAGTATATAACTATCATGCTCATTAGTGTTGTTGCTGCTTCGACATTGCAGTTCTTCGGTGAAGGGGGTTTTCCTTGTCCTAGTAGAGGGAATTCGTCTGACCACTTCCTTCGATGTGTCAATTCCGATTTCGATAATGTCTTAGTGGCTTTGGTTGAATCTCGGAGAATCCATTTTTGTTTTTCCATGAGCTTACAATACACTCAAGCTCCGGAACTCGATGGTTGCCTCTGCAGGATTCTTCTTTCTCTCTTCACCAACTACATGAAACTTCAAACACATTAGATCCTCTAGATGATATACCAACAGCAGAAATTAGAACAACTCTTGTCAGAAAATTCAAGTGTTCAGTATATGCAGCAGCTTCAAGAGCAAAAAGTCAAGAAATAACATTGATAGTAAGTTATGCTTAAAACTACATTGTATCACATACTGAGGCTCATAAGCAAGTTTATAAACCTCATACAGAAGGAGGGGCTTGTCACAGAAAGGAAAATGGGAAGCCGAACTAATTGGTGGAAACAACTCAAAATACTTACTCAGCGATCTTTCATCAACATGAGTAGAGACTTGGGGTACTACTGAATGCGGATTGCAGTCTAGATAGTGTTATCCATTTGAGTCGAGTCAATCTTCTTCAACGTCGGGGGAAACCACACAAATGTTATGAATACTGCAGCTTGTGGCGGATTTATAGCAGGTTGTATGCATTCATGTCAGTATGAAAATAACATTATGGCAGATCATACCAAATTTAGTTGATCGGATACCTTGAGAAGATAAATCATCTTAAGCCATAAAAGAGATAAAAATATCGTCCATCACCTTCTCTAGAAGCAGATCTTCCTCGGAATTTGATAAAATAAAATTGATCTAAAAGAGAGTAGAGACGCCAACATGATGAGATTGTTGCGATGAACAAAAGGTATATAAAGACTAAGGAGACTACCTTCTAATTATCGATCTCTCTTTTCCCTCACAACCTCTACAGAAATATAAGATACGAAATCTTTGCCATTATAAATCAATCGTAAAACCTGCAAAATCACCCCAAAAAAAAACTTTAGCAACAGATATGGAATCAAACATGATTAAATAAGCGTAACACAAGATTTTCTTTTGTTCTCTGATCTGCATGCTCAAGCTATTCTTTAGCTCTTTAGGTTTGGAAATAAACGTTAATACGTCATAAAAAATATTAAAAAGATTAGAAGTCAAAGAGAGAGCTTGTGTTATGTCAAACCAGATGGAATCAAACAAAAATATTAACATGTTCGCCATGACTACCCCATTATTATATTATTGCCACCAGGTTAATCACACCTTCGACGACGGTGGTAGTGATTTTTCTTTTCTCGTTCTCCACACTTTTAAAGATGGAATTCGATTAAAGAGATGTCAACAATTTAAAAACCGACTTCCTTGGTTTATAAGGCTTTAGCGTTGTCTTGACGTTTAATTAAGACTTTAGCGTTTAACCATGATTTATGCACAAACAAAGTAATCAAAAGCAAAATCATAACAAATATACCCATCACGACGCTGATCATACCATCACTTTATAACCATAATCACATCTGAATTAAGAAAAAAAAATTATGTGGTAAGGAGAAGAAACATTACATGCGGTGGCAAAGGTGGTTGCGGCCATGGATTTGACCGAGAGAAGAGATATGAAGATGTAACGATAAGAAGCTTAATATCTAGCGGCTCACATATTTATAAAAAGCAATTTAGGGTTTCATGAAAGATATCCTATATTTATAGGGCTGTGTAACATAGGATTTTAGGGTTTTACATATGACGGTGTAATTTATACCGGGCCAATTTGTCTTCTCCGAAAATAAGCCCACTAAACATATTCGGATATCTTAACCTTTTTTTAAATATTTGGTTCAATTTTTTTAATATAAAAACGAAAAAAACATTTAAAATAATTAAATTAGGCAATTTCATTAAGGGCAAAAACGACTGTTCATATTCTGAGAGCGAACGTGAGCACTTTCGACTTCTCCTTTAATATATAAGATTGCGAGACTATATTTTTGAAATTTGGAAAAAAAAATAGTGATGAATATTTGACAAAAATTTTGGTGATTGATAATTTAAATTATTGTAATAAGCGTTACAATAAATTTAAATATAGATTACAAATAAGTCTATAAAAATGAATTTATAAATAACTCATTTTCTAACTAAAAAATATTGATTTACTTTCTAAAGATAGTTTCTTCTTACAAAGAAATTTGAACATATATTATTTTGTTAAATTTAATTTTATATAATAATGTAAAACCCGCACATCGTGCGGGTCCTAATCTAGTAAAGATATAAGAGTGTCATCATAATCACTTTTTGCTATGTTGATTTTAGTATTATGATCATTATGTTACTAGTAAGTTGAAGATCTAGAGGAGATTATAGAACTTTGGTGAATCATTGTCTTTAATTAGTTTTTTTGTTTTTTGTCTTAAATTCCCAAAGAGTTATCTTCTGTATATGATCACTGCTTAAAGTTTTCCTCAAAGATTTATGTTTTAATTTTTACTTTTTAAAAAATATTTTCAACAGGTACACTCTTTTTCCAATTTTAAGTGTGTCGCTCTCATCTCCTTCACCATTTTGATTTCTTCAATTATACGTCCACTGGCCGTACCATAAATCACGTATCTACCAATTTCTCATGAAGAAAACATCATAAAAATACAAATAGAAGACAATTTCAATTAAGATGGCTGTACTCTTCATAACTAGGACCACATTATCTTATTTTCATAATAACAAACACTTAATCTTTCCCGAAATAAATAAATAGCAAATTATTGATTATCCTAGCAGAGGAAAAAAGTGTATCTTCCAAGAGATTGTTTTTGCATCTTAATGATTCAGGTTTCAAGTGAAAAATCAAAAGAATTGGATCAGACAGTTTGATGAAACTCTAGGAAGCTCCATAACATCATTGGTGATCCTCTGGTACTTGTTATTACCATTGTTATCTTCTCTGGGTTTCAATGTAACACCAACCTTGACAGTTTCAAGACATCTCAAATTTCCCAAGAAATGCCTCATCTGTTTCAGCTCTCTACAAGTACCTCGATACCCTGAAATATTTAGCACTTTCACTTGACATGTCGATAAACAGCATTCTTTCTCCTCCTTCTTCTTCTTCTTATTTTTCTTCCTCCTCTTAGGGATGCAAGGACAGGCATTCCCACACATATCTGTTACTTGGTGCAAAAGACCCTGAAAGCAAAAGGAATTCAAATAAAACATTAAAGCCACGAAAATAATACGTACGGCATAAGCAAATTCATTTAGAATAGTAATCTAGCAAAGAAATAAAATTATGTGGTGTTGATCTAAGAATTGATGATACCTTGATGATTAGAGTTTCTAGGTTTGGAGATTTGTTGAGGAGAAGTGGCACCACTTGCCAGCCTATTTCTTTGTCACTCTCAAAAGATAAAGTAACGAGGTTGTGAAACACCGGCATTGTATCACAGCACAAGTGAAACACCTGGATTTGTAGTCATAACCAAAACAGACATATAATACAAAAATGAGACCTTGCTAGCTAGCATACACTTGAAATTGAAACAATCATATAAGAAGAATAAGTAGCAAAACTGACCTCAAGAGAATCAGAAGATAAATGAAGGGTTTTAACATTGCTTATCCCTTCAACCAGATCCGTAAGATCACCAAAAATTTCGTCTCCCTCCACATTCTCATCCTCATCACTCTCACCCTCATTCTCATCTATAAGTCGCTCCCAAGACCAAAGATCGAGTCTAGCTTCTATAAGGGAACCAAAATCAACCACATACTTTTCCGCGACATGACTCGAATATTCAAGGTACATAAGACTGGGTGTCTTAAACCAACATTCATCGTAAGCCTCAAAACGTAACTCGGGAAGATTTTGATAGATGTTCAGTCGTTTGATTGAAGAACTCGATACGAGCCCATTCCAAGCCGGGCATGTGGTCTCATTATCATAATGTAGGAATAATTCCTCAAGCACAGGGCAGCCAGAGATGAAATCCTGATACATCTCAGCATCAGTAAACTCCACTGAAACTAGAGAAAGTGATTTAAGCGCTGGGAAAAACACTCCCCCTGGAGGAAGACGACCCTCAGCATAAAACCCACCGCATATTGTGAGCTCAACCAGTGTGTTGCTCGTGAAGACCTCAGTGTCTATACAATGCATACGTGCGGTCTCCAAGTGAAGTTCCAAGAAACCGCGCTCCAGGACAGTGCGAATCCAACTCTCCACCCGAGAATCGTCATGCTCGAAGTTACAATTAAGGGAGAATCTCTTGACGGTGGTAGAATTGCTTAAGAGAGCAAGTGTTCTGCCCACGAAATCACAGAAGTATCGATGATTACTTGCGTCATTCAAATCAAGGTTGTCTACAAGCGCAAGCAGATTCCTCCACCTCTTTGACAGAACCGATGTGCAAGCAGCACGATTTGTCCAAAGCAATGACAAGATTTTACCTAGAATCTCATCTGGTAAACTGCTAATATAATCTTTAGAACCCATATCTACTCTTTTGGTAGACATATAGGTTAGGATTATAAAGAACCTATCAACAACAAAAATCGATCTAGGGTTAGGGTTACAAGTTCTGCTAGTTTAAATCAAAAGGAGAAAACCTAGACAGTGAAATCAACAGAATTGAAGGAAAATATCAAATAAAATTCCTCTATAAAGCTAGGGCATGCAAGATTACTTCAAGACGTCGATGTAGATTGGGGAATGTAGTAGAAGTAATCTTACGATTGCAAAGGAAACCAAAGGAGGAATTCGCAAGCACGACGAGTCTAACCGGAAGATCGAAGAGGAAGCTTGATGAGCAAGGAATTCGAGAAAGATGAAGAATTAAAGAATTTTTCTATAAAACTATTGTTTTTTTTATAATGGGTTTTCAAAATAAAAAGCATTAGACCAAAGATATTACAAGCCCACCAAGACTTGAGTGTTTAGAGAGCAAGATCCACTTTTGCTAAACCAGAAATTACAAGGAACAAATATTTGTACCAACCAAAAAAAAAATGTACTAATTCGAGTAAGTATTTGTACATTCACGTTGTTAGGATAACTTACAAGCGATATAGAATTTATTACATAAAATCGTGAAGTTTATATTATATTTTAAGACAATATAACGATATTATCCCAAAAATATTGCCGAATTTATCACCAAACAATAATATTACGATTACGTACGAATGAATGTAAACCTCTTCAATTTCGTGTCTATCTCGACTAAAAGAAAAAGAAAAAACAATTGCGTGTCTCTATCCATAATATGAGTTAACAATTTCGTGTTTATCTATCATAATATGAGTTGTATAGCAATAACAAAATTAATTGGTGTTTGTTTTATATAAAAAAAATTAATGTATAAAGGCAATGGACATCTACTAATATAAATTAGATGTAATGAAAGTCTTTACTTTCGAATATCATTACTTTATTATGAGTTTTACTATATTTTCGAAAAAGTGAAAAATTCATGAAAAATTAAAACTAATTCACACAAACCTTACCAACAACAACAATACTAAATTTCCCAAATTTTAACAAGAAAAACAAACTACGTAATCTACCTATTTATTCCTTCATCGGAAAAATGCGAATAATACAGCCCATCACGAATACTATTTCTAGACATCAAAACTAAACTATCTTTGGAAATTACAGGTTACAGAAATATTTGCTTCGAGAAGATTTTTTCCAGTTCCACAAGACATCACAAATTTAGTCAAGTTCTTTTTCTTGTTTTTATTGGTATACAAATTAAATTTTAACAGTAGAACGTTATACACTAGTGGAATATTAACAACACATTTGTTAAACCTCTTTTGAGTATTAATTTCCCAAAAACCCTCTAGAAGCTTTGCTTTTGTTCTTTCCCCTTGTGTCCTAAGTAATTTTCAAAACATTAAATAGAAAAAATATATTCTAGTTGACTACATTAAATAAAAAAGATTAATTACTTAATTAATTACCAGAATTCAAATACAATTTCGATTAAAAATAGTAAATCACTACCCAAATAACTTCTAGAAGCAAACAAACTTAGAGTAAGAACAGGACAAAACCGACTCAAACACCTTTTTTACCCTCACTCAACAGATTCAACACACAAAACCACAAGGGTAGTATCGTCATTCAAATAACAAAAAATCACAAGGGTAATATAGTCATTTACACTACCTTCAAATATGCCCGGGGATTATGCACGCTTTATATGCAGCGTAGACACCTAACTGAATCAGTCTAACAGAGAAACCCCAAAAAAAAAAAATTCCCTTCTCTGATTTTTCGGAGCAGAGAAAAAAAAAAATTTCAAAATCAGAGATTATCACAAATCTCAAATCTCGAATCTCGATTTCGATTCTCGTCGGAGGTGGTTAAACAATGGCGGCTGCTTCGAATGGGAGTGAGTATTTCGAATTCGATGTAGAAACAGGTAGAGAATCGTTCGCGCGGCCGTCGAACGCCGATACAGTGGAGCAAGATGAAGAAGATCTACGGTGGGCGGCGATCGGAAGGTTACCATCGCAGAGGCAAGGTAGTCAGAGTGCGATTCTGCTTCGATCGCAAACGCAAACGCAGACTTCTGGTTACGCTGATGGAAACGTGGTTCAAACGATTGATGTGAAGAAATTGGATCGTGCGGATCGTGAGATGTTGGTTCGTCAAGCTCTTGCTACTAGTGATCAAGATAATTTCAAACTTCTCTCTGCTATTAAAGAACGTCTTGATCGGTTAGTGAACGACGACGATTCGAATTCTCTCTGTTTCTAATTTTAGGAAAAAAATAATTATTTCTTAAAATTGTAAAATTTATACATATGAATCGTTGAATTTGATACAATTTTTCTTTTTTTTGATAGAGTTGGTATGGAGGTACCGAAAATCGAAGTCCGGTTCGAGAATTTGAATATTGAAGCTGATGTTCAAGCTGGTACAAGAGCTTTACCAACTTTGGTTAATGTCTCTCGAGATTTCTTTGAGGTTTGTCTTCTTTATCTTTTTGAGTATATTCCACATAATTTTTTTTTTGATGATTGTTTCTAATTCTGCATTTTTCTCTGTTTGTTGTAGCGTTGCTTAAGCAGCTTGAGAATAATCAAGCCTAGGAAACATAAGCTAAATATTTTGAAAGATATAAGTGGGATTATCAAACCAGGAAGGTGAATTAGAAGACTGTTTAGATTATCACTAAACCATATGTATAATCACAAGTACTAATATTTTGCTATTTTTTGAAGGATGACTTTGTTATTAGGACCACCGGGTTCCGGAAAATCGACGTTGCTTCTTGCTCTTGCAGGGAAGCTTGATAAGAGTTTAAAGGTTAGTTGATCCGTGAAGTTATTAACTATGTTCATATATATCACATGTATCTTATGTTTGTTATATCTTTTTGTTTAAACGTCACATGCATGAAGTGACGTACTCCAACCATGTTTGATGTTTGTTTTTTTTAACTAGAAAACGGGTAACATTACCTACAATGGAGAGAATCTTGATAAGTTCCATGTTAAAAGAACTTCAGCATATATTAGTCAAACAGATAATCACATTGCTGAACTCACTGTTCGCGAAACGCTTGATTTTGCTGCGAGATGTCAAGGCGCAAGCGAAGGATTTGCAGGTTTTTTTCATTTTGTGTTACTACTCACTATAGAAACTTCTTCATCAAGTCATAGATTCTCAAATATTTTCTGTTTTGATGTTGTGTAATTGTAGGTTACATGAAAGATCTAACCCGATTAGAGAAAGAGAGAGGTATACGTCCTTCTTCCGAGATTGACGCTTTTATGAAGGTCAGTATCATGTTTCAAGATTTATCATGTCGCTTGATTCCACAACAAAGCCTGACATTTTCTCTTTGTTATAGGCTGCTTCTGTCAGTGGTGAAAAGCATAGTGTTTCGACAGATTATGTGCTTAGAGTTCTTGGTCTTGATGTATGTTCTGATACAATGGTTGGTAATGATATGATGAGAGGTGTTTCAGGAGGTCAAAGGAAAAGAGTAACAACAGGTCTTTTTTTCACTCTCTTTACTTATCTATCTTTACTTAATGATCCACTAGCTCTGTTATGCTAATTGATAAATTTGACACAATGCAGGAGAAATGACTGTTGGACCAAGAAAAACCTTGTTTATGGATGAAATATCTACTGGTCTTGATAGCTCAACAACTTTCCAGATTGTGAAATGTATCAGAAACTTCGTTCATCTAATGGATGCAACTGTTCTTATGGCACTTCTTCAGCCTGCACCAGAAACATTTGATTTGTTTGATGACTTAATTCTTCTCTCAGAAGGTTACATGGTATATCAAGGTCCTCGAGAAGATGTGATAGCCTTTTTTGAGTCTCTAGGATTCCGTATCCCACCGCGTAAAGGTGTCGCAGATTTTCTCCAAGAGGTATATATACATCCTAGCTCTTTTCTTTAATTTGAGTTTAGTATACCCAAATTTAAAGCTCTTTGTATTGGTTTTCTTAATCTATTATAATGTTGGTATGCAGGTGACCTCCAAAAAGGATCAAGCTCAATATTGGGCGGATCCTTCGAAGCCATATCAGTTTATTCCTGTCTCAGACATAGCGGCTGCATTCCGTAACTCGAAATACGGGCATGCTGCAGATTCCAAGCTGGCCACACCATTTGATAAGTCATCCGCGGATCCTTCAGCTTTATGCAGAACAAAATTTGCCATTTCAGGATGGGAAAACCTTAAAGTTTGCTTTGTAAGAGAAATACTATTGATCAACCGGCACAGATTTCTTTACACTTTTAGGACATGCCAGGTAAATTACCTCTTTTCGCTGCATTTGTAATTTTGGCATCATTTAGAGTATTGACACTTAGGTTTGTTTCTTAAGATTTCATGACAATGCTTTTATGTGGCTTTTGAATCAAGTAACCAATAAATTTTGTCTTTACCATAATCCTAGGTCTTCATTTGCGCTTAGTAGTGCTTGCTTCGACTCTGCTTTTGTAAACTTAGTCTCATTCTTATAAGTACCGTTATGTGATCCAATTTGCATCACTATGTTAATAGCTTGACGTAGATATATTATTCAAATATCCTTAGCTAAAATTCATTTTGAAACTTTAGTAACCAAGTTGTTAGAAATACATGTGAATTATTTGGAGTGAGGCAATTATCTCATGAATTTGGTCAGCTTAAATCTCGAAGATCACCTGTTGAATAATAAAATTTTGTGCTATCTTATTGACTTGAATAGATGTTCTCTATGTGGTATATGTAGCTTCCTATGTTTCTGACCTGAAACATTTTCTGTTCCTTAAAGGTTGCATTTGTGGGACTTGTCACAGCCACGGTGTTCTTGAGAACTAGACTACACCCAACAAGCGAACAATTTGGCAACGAGTATCTATCTTGCCTTTTCTTCGGGCTAGTGCACATGATGTTCAATGGTTTCTCTGAACTGCCTCTCATGATATCCCGTCTCCCGGTTTTCTACAAGCAAAGGGATAACTCCTTTCATCCTGCTTGGTCCTGGTCTATCGCCAGCTGGCTGTTGCGTGTGCCTTATTCTATCCTTGAAGCTGTTGTCTGGAGTTGTGTAGTATACTACAGTGTGGGACTTGCTCCCTCAGCAGGCAGGTTGGTATTAACATTTCTCTCGACTTGTTGTTGATTTTTTAGTTTTGTAGTCTTAAACAAAATCTTTTTTGTTCTCCTAGATTTTTCCGATATATGTTACTCCTCTTCTCGGTGCATCAAATGGCTCTCGGTTTATTTCGGATGATGGCTTCTCTAGCAAGGGACATGGTCATTGCTAATACATTTGGATCCGCAGCAATATTAATAGTGTTCTTGCTTGGTGGATTCGTTATTCCAAAAGGTTAATTAATACTACTTCCACTACTTCTTGTATAAAAGAATTTTTTTTGTTGGTTTGTGTTGCTAAAATAAGACCCCATCATTTCTTACAGCTGATATTAAACCCTGGTGGGTTTGGGGTTTTTGGGTCTCGCCGTTATCCTATGGACAACGTGCCATTGCGGTCAATGAGTTCACAGCCACACGGTGGATGTCGGTATGTTAAAGAATCTCATTTTTTTTTTTATAAATACATTGTTAGAATATACAATGCTTAACTATATATTCTTTTAAACATCATGCAGCCATCCGCTATATCGGATACTTCAATCGGATTCAACCTTCTAAAGCTAAGGAGTTTTCCCACAAATGACAATTGGTATTGGATTGGAATTGCGGTTCTCATTGGTTATGCAATTCTATTCAACAACGTTGTCACTCTAGCCTTGGCTTATCTTAACCGTGAGAGTCTCTATTGCTAATGAATCTTTCTTCTATCTCTGTAGTAATACTATGAAGCTTAGTTTTTTTTTTGTTTTTCTCTTGCAGCTCTAAGAAAAGCTCGAGCAGTTGTTTTAGACGATCCTAAAGAAGAAACTCAAACTGCTTTAGTAGCAGATGCAAATCAAGAAAAAAGTCAGAAAAAGGGAATGATCCTTCCATTCAAACCATTAACAATGACTTTCCACAATGTCAACTATTATGTTGATATGCCAAAGGTTAATTTCACTTCTCTGTTTCGCCTCCGTCTTATCAGCCCTTATCTATGGTTACATAAAGATTTTCTGTTTGTGAAATCTCAGGAAATGCGTTCTCAAGGTGTCCCAGAGACAAGACTACAGCTGTTATCAAACGTGAGTGGAGTCTTCTCACCTGGTGTTCTTACAGCTTTAGTTGGATCAAGCGGTGCGGGAAAAACTACATTGATGGATGTTCTTGCGGGCCGAAAGACAGGTGGATATACCGAGGGAGATATTAGAATCTCTGGTCACCCAAAAGAACAACAAACATTTGCTAGAATCTCTGGATATGTTGAGCAGAACGATATCCATTCTCCTCAAGTCACAGTTGAAGAGTCCCTATGGTTTTCGGCTAGCCTTCGTCTTCCTAAAGAGATCAGTAAAGAACAGAAAAAGGTCAGTATGAATGAGTTTTACTTCATTTGGTTTCGATATGGATAGTTTTACTAAAAATATATTTTCTTGTTTTGTTAGGAATTTGTGGAAGAAGTGATGAGACTTGTAGAGCTTGACACTCTGAGATATGCATTGGTAGGTTTACCTGGTACAACCGGACTTTCTACAGAGCAGAGGAAACGTCTAACAATTGCTGTTGAGTTAGTAGCAAATCCATCAATAATTTTCATGGATGAACCAACATCTGGACTTGATGCAAGAGCAGCTGCAATTGTGATGAGAACTGTAAGAAACACTGTTGACACCGGAAGAACAGTGGTTTGCACCATTCATCAACCCAGCATTGACATTTTCGAGGCCTTTGACGAGGTTCGACCTAACTTTGCTTGGATTACAAGAACTGTTATGAATTGTTATCTTAACGTATGTGCTTTTTTTTTTTGCTTAACCTTAAAAATACAGCTGCTTCTAATGAAACGAGGAGGACAGGTTATATATGGTGGGAAATTGGGTACACACTCACAAGTTCTGGTAGACTACTTTCAGGTACTTGTCTTAATCTTCTTTTCTTCTGCTTTGATCTTCGCACTTAGATACTTGTGCCCCACGTTAAATATGACAAACCCTAAACCTCTCTACAGGGGATTAACGGAGTACCTGCAATCTCAAGTGGTTACAATCCAGCTACTTGGATGCTTGAAGTAACCACACCTGCTTTGGAAGAGAAATATAACATGGAGTTTGCAGATTTATACAAGAAATCTGACCAGTTTAGGTAACTATCTCAACCCATATAGCTACATTTTCAATCTTTTTTAACAGCCACTATCTAAATTTTGAATTTAAACATACTGTGTATCTATCTATTCAGAGAAGTGGAGGAAAACATCAAGCAACTTAGTGTTCCACCAGAAGGCTCAGAGCCAATAAGCTTTACTTCAAGATATTCACAAAACCAACTATCTCAATTTCTACTCTGCCTCTGGAAACAGAACCTTGTCTACTGGAGAAGTCCAGAATACAATCTCGTGAGATTAGTCTTCACAACGATCGCTGCGTTTATACTCGGCACAGTTTTCTGGGACATTGGTTCCAGGAGGACTTCCTCACAGGATTTGATCACTGTAATGGGAGCTCTCTACTCGGCTTGTCTGTTTCTTGGAGTTAGTAACGCTTCATCGGTACAACCAATCGTTTCAATCGAAAGAACAGTTTTCTACAGAGAGAAAGCCGCCGGTATGTATGCTCCAATTCCATATGCAGCTGCTCAAGGTCTTGTGGAGATACCTTACATTCTCACCCAAACCATTCTCTATGGTGTCATCACATACTTCACCATTGGTTTTGAAAGAACATTGAGTAAGTTGTCTTTGATTCTTTTTCATTAATCTCAATCTTTTTCTACATGCGTCGACTATATAATAATACTAATATATTACAATTGAAACGCAGGCAAGTTTGTACTGTATTTGGTGTTCATGTTCCTCACATTCACCTACTTCACCTTCTACGGCATGATGGCGGTTGGTCTCACCCCGAATCAGCATTTAGCCGCTGTTATCTCCTCTGCGTTTTACTCTCTCTGGAATCTCCTCTCCGGTTTCCTCGTCCAAAAACCTGTAAGTATTTCACTCTATGAAGTGAAAATCGAGAACTTAGTTCTGTTGGGTCATTAAGGATTTGATTCTTGACTAATCAGCCTTACCATATTTTGAACCCTTATAATCTTTTAACTCATTTTTTTGTGTGTTTGTTTTGGTACTTCAGTTGATTCCAGTGTGGTGGATATGGTTCTATTACATATGTCCAGTGGCGTGGACACTTCAAGGAGTAATCCTTTCACAGCTTGGTGACGTGGAGAGCATGATCAACGAGCCATTGTTCCATGGCACAGTCAAAGAATTCATTGAACTTTACTTCGGCTACAAGCCAAACATGATCGGTGTATCTGCTGCAGTTCTTGTCGGTTTTTGTGCTCTCTTCTTCTCAGCATTTGCACTTTCAGTCAAATACCTCAACTTCCAGCGAAGATAAAAGTCGTATGTGACTAACTTTTATATTTTTGGCCAATGTCATTTGTGTTCCGTTTTAAGAATAGCTAGGATTCTTTTTTAAGTTAGTTTTTTTGACATTGACGAAAAAAACATACCTAAAAAAGATTCTGTTTTGCTCTATTTAGGCTTTATAGTTTTGTACACTGAATATTGATTCTGTTTTGCTCTGTTTAGGGTTTATAGTTCAATTGATGTCGTTCAATATTGTTGAATTTTGTTCGTAATCTTTGTTTCATAAAGATTAATGTCTCATGTAAAATATAAAAAATGTTTTATTTCCTAATTTCTTTATATCAATTTATTATAATATAAATGTAAATCTTAATTAGACTAATAAAATAAATTAGTAAAATTAGGCTATAGTATTGCTCATATGTAATTCCATAAAGTGAGTAAGAAAAATTCTAGAACATGAATATGGAGATTGGGATCAATGAAAATACAGTTCAACACTTAATCTCTAATTCTCTAACTTGCACATAGTAATCTTAGTTTTGTGATTTATTTGGTTGTGGATTTTGGAATAGTTTTTGTGGCTGTGCCAAAGTGAAACTAACACAACCTAACACATATTCACACAAATTAAATGAGAAAAAAAAATCAATTTGATAAGGAAAAACTAAAATCTTTCTGCAACCCTCCTTGTGCCTTGACTATATATATAAAGAGAGACCCATCAAATATCTCTTCACACACACACACTCTCCATGGAAATGCTTTTTCTTGGTTCACTTATGCATTTCTCTTTTTTTATTTTTGTATTTTTTTCTTTTTATGCATTTCTCTATAACAACAAATGTTTGCTAAAATCTCTATACATCATGTTTCCTTATTCTATCATGCGCAACATATACCGAGATTCTAACAAACGTTTGTAGTTAAAGAGAATTGCATAAGTGAACTAATGAGGTGTAACGTGTATCACAAGACTCTTTGTCAACAAGAAGCTTTAAACTCTCACTAAGAAAGAAACAAGACATTGTGAAGCTTTGGGCCTTAGACAATCAACGAAGCCCAACAATATCTCACCATCAACCGTAAAAAAAGTCACAAAAGTATTATTAAAAATAGAACTTAGGTTATATTATTGCTCAGATATTTTTTGGTCCGAGGTTTTCACTTTTTCTATTATTGTTGATAATATATTTGACAATTCTTTAGCTACCGTCACTTTTCTACGTCACCCCTCCAATCATAACCTTCCAACGACCCTTTATTTTCAACACCCATTGGTCCTTCACGCAACCCCATCACAGTCATCTTCTTGACCCGACCAACCGCTTACCGGGTCGGTTTCTTCCACGTGTCGCCCCGAAGATATCTTTAGAAACAAACAATTCCCATCGCGTCGTCAAACTATGAATGAATTTTGATGTATTTGTAAAATAATTAAAGCATCGAGAAATCGATCGCTCGTCGGAAACAACCGAGCTCTGGAGATGAATCACGAAGCCGACGACGGCGAAGATGTAGCGGCGGTGGCGGTGGAAGACGTGGAGGTGTGGGATACGTTGAGTAATGGATTCAAGCGTGCACAGCTTTTTCTTGATCAGAATCGTGATTTGATCCAACGAGTCAACGAAAACCACATGTCTCGAATCCCAGATAACGTCGCTAGAAACGTTGGCTTGATCAACGAAATCAACGGTAATATTTTCCGAGTTATGGAGATTTACTCTGATTTATCTGTCGATTTAGCCAAAAATTTCGATCAGCGGCGGAGGACGGCCAAGAACGGCGGCACTACAACTACCACCACCGGTTCTTACGGCGGTAGACGGAGATCTTGCGGTTCCTAAGCGCAATACGCAACAGCAAACTCCGATTTTAGCTAATTTCATGCCGGAGTCACTGTTCTGTTTCATGAAGTTTGTATATGATTACAAGAATTAGGAGTTGATTTTGGGGTTGATGTGAATTAGTGTGGTGGATTAGGATGTTGCACTAGTCTCTTACGTGATCTCTAAGGTATTCTATGCTTCTGTATTCAGCTACTCTGCTTTTGTTTGATTCTTGCATGTCTCATTCGTATAATCATTCACTAGTTTCATGATTTTTTCGATGGCTAGCTGGTTGTTTGTATTATGGATTTAAATAGCTTTTAGAGAAGATATATGAGTTGCACCAAAAAATGATGGTTCTGGTTAGTTCTTGAATAGAGTCAGATCATGATGATCCATGAGAATGAGGCAATGAGCAATGAGTGGGTAGGTTGTTTGGAAATGCTTGTAAGCACAAGAGAGTCTTAGATGAGCGACACTAGGTTCCACACACATTAGAAATAGTTCACTGCAATAGGTCTCTAGGAGCACAAGACTTGGGCTAGAAGACAAACATGATAGGTGTATTCGTTGTTGTTCTTGTCGGCTTTTGTGCTCTCTTATTCCTCAATTTCCAGAGAAGATAGAAGTACTATGTTATTCGTTGCTGTTCTTGGGCTATTAGTCACATGACTAAATTTGATCTTTTTGGCCTTTTAATTTCACTGGTTTTTTCCTTTTACGAGTAGTTAGATTATCTTCTATATTACAACAGAGATTTCGTGTCAACATGTCCAACTTAAGATAAAATGAATCAAAACCCATATAGTCTCTTCCCACAAGTTACAAGTGCACCATATAAACCAAATGAGATTTGGGAATTTCAAAACATCTTCGGATCCATACGGTTATAGGGAAACTGACAAATGGATATTAAATCATAATAATTATAATAATAATAAACGATTTCATAATCTTGGATTCTAAATAAGCATGAGGTATGTTTGAGAGGAAGAAAACCTAGTAGTCTATGATCAGTAGTCATAGGCAGGCCCGGCCCGCCACCAATACCCAAGATACCAATGTATTGGGCCTTAAATATAATTTTTTATTGCAAAAAAATGCCTTATTTTTACAAAATTTTAAGATTTAGTCTCAAATCTTAAATTTTAAAATATTGTAAAAATAGGCCCAATTTTTCTGAAAATTTAAGATTTGGTATCATTTTTAAATTTGTCTACAAAATCCATCAAAAAAAAAAATTATTCTGTATTGGGCCTCATATATAATAGGGCCGAGCCTGGTCATAGGTTTCACCTTCAATGAACACCTTGAATGGACACTGAGTCTCACCTTGAATAGAGTACTCAAACTTGAGTTGAGTAGAGAAGAGAAGCTGAGATGATGCTGAAAGCCTTGCCATTGATTTCAACTCCTTTTTAACTCTACCACTACTCCAGGTTGGTGCGATGGAGATTCCAACTCTCTTTAAACACTCGGAGTTGGCAAGTAGATATCTCACCAATTCTTTCTCTCCGTTTCTTCCTTTATAGTTTTTCCACTCAAAGATCTCGAGACGGTTTAACAAACACTCTGGAACAGAACTCGGTGGGTTGAAACAAAGTGGGAGCTCTTCGTTACTGTCCTGTTAAGCAACAACATCAAGATAAGTAACTAAAACGTTTATTTCATTTTGAATTTGTTAAACCGTCCATATATATGTACCTGCTCGATGAGAAGGACTTTTAGCTTAGGAGAATTTTGAAGAAAAAGCATAAATGGTTGCAACCAATGTAATCCAAATGGGATAATTTTACATTCTACAAGCTGCGAGAAGTTAATGTTGTAACAACATCCAACCTGCAACAATGAACATATACCTCACAAATAAGTTGACGATGGCAATGTGATCATAAATAAGGTTGAAAAAGCCACTACGTACCGTCTGTGTGTTCAAAATGAAGTCGAGATGCATAACCGAGGAAAGAGATTTGGTAAACTCGTCATCAAGATTAGAAAAAACTTGGATAAGTGCCTTATCAAGGCGAGGCTTGTTCTCAATTGAGTACAAGTTTGCCGAAATATCCCGAAGGAAGATTTTTCTTAAATTTGGAGAATCGATAGCCAAAGACCCCCCTGCATATCCCTCATTATTTTTTGCTACTTCCATATGACTATAATATAAGGTCTTTAAAGAAGGCACTTTGACACTGATATTTTTCAAGTTGTCAATACCATGTCTAACCACACCTAAATGCTTGAGAATAGGACAACCAGATAAAAGCCTAACAAGAGCATCTTCATATTTGTACACCACAGAGAAGAGGCAAAGAATTTCTAGACATGGAAAGCAAACCACAGAAGGAACATCCACCAAAATCTGATCGGAGATAGTAAGAAAGACGAGCGTGTTGCATACGTAAAGGCGATCTGGTAACCTGATAGGCTCTGACAACCAGCTTAGCTTGAACTCTAGCTTTCGCACTTTGCGATCAACTGCATCTGCAATCCACTTTATAACATCAACATCAATAGGACATCCAGGACCGAGTTGTACACAAAGAGTTTCTAAAACATGGGCCTTATGGAGTTTCATTGACTCGTTAAGAAACCACCATAAACTAGGCTCGTTAAGAAACCACCACATGTTTTTTTTCTTTCCTTGTTTATATTCAGTATCTCTGTACTCGAGTTCCGGTAGCATCGTCCAAATAGACCGCCATCGTTTCGACAAAACCACGGTAGACACTGCATCTTTTGTAGGTAGAAGCAACAATATCTTTACAAGCAAATCATCGGGTAGTGTACTAATCTTGTCTTCAGTTGAATCAGTTCTCTTACTAATCTTGTCTTCAGTTGAATCAGTTCTCTTACTCTTACTCTTGATGAATCGTCGTGCATTATGTATTAAATTTTGTCCCAACCATATGGAACCGAATATAAGCAAAAGCTGTCCTAACATCTTTTTGTCACGGCTCCATAGACTCATTCGTCCTAACATCTTTTTGTCACGGCTCCATAGACGCCTTCATATTAGTCATTAAGCGTATATATACATACTAGATATGTCGGTACTATCCTTTTTTTAGAATTAGTAACTTTACATTAGAATTAGTAAATAATTTTTTCATTTCTATTTTTATTTAATAAGATACATATAATTTCCTTATAATTATTTTTTTACCTTTTTAAAATTTTTTTGTATAATATTTATACATATAATTGCCTTATAATTTTTTATTAAATTTCTATTTTTATTTAATAAGATACATCAAATTTCCTTATAATGATCTTCTTTAGATTTTTAGATTTGTTTTTATCGAAGATATATACGTATAACTTTCTTAAAAAAAAATCTAAATAGATAAAAGGAAATTGTTGTGTTACACGTGTCCAAATCTGATATCAATAAAAAAAAAATTTTTGTAAGAAAATAGGAGACTATCTATTTGTTTATATAGAGTGGAGTAATTACAATTTTTGTAAGAAAATAGGAGACTATCTATTTGCTTTAAATTAGAATTAGTAAATGAATTTTTTATTTCTATTTTTATTTAATAAGGTACATATAGTTTCCTTATAATTATCTTTTTTTTTTTTTTGTCGTCTAGATTTATTATTAATTGCAAATTATGAGAACTTTTACATACACGATTCTACAACTGACAATTCCTTCCGACCCTTATTAGATCTACGACAGACTACACTTCCTTCTTCATAATCTTGATGAATACCTTCAATGATCCACGACCTGGCGACACTTCCTTCTCTGCGTAGAATCCTGGCGAACGGCTATAATTGTACATCGCTGGAGATCTCCTGCACACTTGCCTCTATTAATCTGCAAATTTGTTAATAAATCGCAATATCTAGGACTCGAACCTCAAACCTCTTGGTGTAGAAGCATTAATCAACACTTGGTCAACCAATGGGCCAAGGGGGCTTCCACAACTTATAATTATCTTCTTTACCTTTTAAAAATTGTTTTGTATAAGATTTATATGTATAGTTGCCTTATAATTTTTTTTCTTAAATTTCTATTTTTATTTAATAAGATACATAAAGTTTTCTTATAATGATTTTCTTTAGATTTGTTTTTATATAAGATATATACGTATAATTTTCTTATAATTTTTTTTCTTGATGAATAAAAGAAAATTGTTGTGTTACACATGTCAAATTCTGGAATCAATAAATTTGTCATGTGGCACGATCCTATAAGTTACTAACTTTATAAACCAACCATACTTAATAAAATGAGATATGTAGGGCTATGCACAAAGTTAACAAAATTACAAAAAAAAAAAAAAAAAAAACGGCGGAGGACGGCAAAGAACGGCGACTTTGCAGCTACCACCACCGATTCTTACGGTGGTAGACGGAGCTCTTGCGGTTCCTAAGCGCAATTCACAACAGCAAACTCCGATTTTAGCTAATTTCATGCCGGAGTCACTGTTCTGTTTCATGAAGTTTGTATATGATTACAAGAATTAGGAGTTTATTTTGGGGTTGATGTGAATTAGTGTGGTGGATTAGGATGTTGCACTAGTCTCTTACGTGTTCTCTAAGGTATTCTATTCTTCTGTATTCAGCTCCTCTGCTTTTGTTTGATTCTTGCATGTCTCATTCGTATAATCATTCACTAGTTTCATGATTTTTTCGATGGCTGGTTGTCTGTATTATGGATTTCAATAGCTTTTAGAGAAGATATGAGTTGCACCAAAAACAGATGGCTCTGGTTAGTTGTTGAATAGAGTCAGATCATGATGATCCATGAGAATGAGCAATGAGTGGGTAGGTTATTTGGAAATGCTTGTAAGCACAAGAGAGTCTTAGATGAGCGACACTAGGTTCCTCATACATTAGAAATATAGTTCACTGCAATAGGTCTCTAGGAGCACAAGACTTGGGCTACAAGACAAATATGATAGGTGTTTCGTTGCTGTTCTTGTCGGCTTTTGTGCTCTCTTATTCCTCAATTTCCAGAGAAGATAGAAGTACTATGTTATTCGTTGCTGTTCTTGGGCTATTAGTCACATGACTAAATTTGATGTTTTTGGCCTTTTAATTTCACTGGTTTTTCCCTTTTACGAGTAGTTAGATTATCTTCTATATTACCACAGAGATTTCGTGTCACAATGTCTAACTTGAGATAAAATGAATCAAAACCCATATAGTCTAAAAGACACTTCCCAAATGAGATTTGGGATTTTCAAAACATCTTTGGATCCCCAAAAATTGAAAAGAGTTTGCTACGGTTGATTAACTTTGTAGCATAAATACATAATAATATATATATAGCATAAATACATAATATAATAATGTTGTAGATGAATGTCGATAGTGATAAATACGCATGAATTAGCTGTGCTGACGTGGCAAGGTGAAAAAAAGGGCGACTAGGGTTTCTTTGCTTTTCCACCAAGTTTGATGCCGGCGGCGGCTTCTCCAGTCCGTGGGGAAGGGATCTCGGTGTCGGAGAAGGATGAGGTTGCTCCGGGGATTGAAGAGAGTCAGGTCGAGGAGTTTCCAGCGTTGACAAGGATGGAAGAACAAGTGGTTTCGAAGAATGGTTTAGGGGGGAGTAAGTCAGGAAATTTGCAGGAAGTGTCATCATCGAATCAGAATGGTAAGAGATCGTTTCTTCAAGTTGCTCAGAAGCTAACTTTTACCCGGCAAAAGTTTGTGGTTTCAACAGTAGACGGGTGTGAGAAGGTAGTCGTCCCAAAGGAAGTATTTGTTGGTGCAAAACCAATTTGGGAGGACTTTCTGATTGGGAAATTTCTGAATGAAAAGGCACCACATGTCGGGAAGATTCACATGATTGTGAATAAGATCTGGAGACTTGGAGATAGAACCTCTCTCATAGATGTCTATGAGGTGAATGATTATACAGTCAAGTTTCGTATTCGGAATGAAGGAATGAGGCACAGAATTCTCAACAGAGGCATGTGGAATATAATGGATATCCCTATGATTGTTTCGAAATGGACGCCATTTACAGAAGAGGCCCAGCCAGCCATAAAGTCTATTCCATTATGGGTTACTTTAGAGAATGTCCCACCAACCATGTTTACAGACAAAGGTTTGGAGTTTTTGGCTAGTGCAGTGGGAGAGCCAATTAAACTACATCCTAAAACAGAGGAGTGTATCAGTTTCGACGAGGCTAAAATACTAGTGAAAGCAGATTTAACTAAAGATCTCCCATTGGAACACACTTTCACGGGTGAAGAGGAAGGTGAACTGGAGTCAACCATTAAGTACTCGTATCCATGGCTGCCTCCACGTTGCTCCGGCTGTAAGAAATGGGGTCATCTATACTCAACTTGTTTAGCTGCCAAGGCTGTAGTCGAGAAAGATAAGCAAGTTTCAGACTCTCCTCAAGTGATTATCGATGAAAATGTACCAACAAACACACAGGTGCAGACTGTTGCAGTTTCGGACAAAGAGAATCAGACATGTGAGGAGAACAAAAATCAAACTGTTGAAGAAGATCAGAAGGAGGATGAAGTGGAAGGGTGGATTACTCCTAAATCGGGTCGTAGTAGTCCGGGTAAAGGACAGAAAACTTTACAATATGGCGAAGTCTCAATCTTATCAAACGCTTGCTCTGTTTTGGAGGTAGAAGAAGACGGAACAGAGCAGAGGAAAACAGTGGACTCACTGGAGGGACACGCTGTTACTGAAATTGCGCAAGAAGAGGCTCAACTGAATGTGACTATACGTAATCACGAAGCAGCTGCAAAGGGCCATCACTAGAAGGAGATATCTCTGCGACCATCTTTACCATGACACTCAAAAACGGCTCACAAAACACTAGCTCATCTTCCAGCTCCATCGGCTAGAGATCCCTCTAGAGATTTAAGTAAGAAGACTACCCCGAAACTTAATTAATGTCGGGTTTTTTTTGGAATGTTCGCGGTCTAAATAAAAGTTCAAAACATTCCATAATCAAAAAGTGGGTGGAGGAGAATAATTTTCAGGTTGGTTGTTTGTTGGAGACGAGAGTGAGGGAGGGGAAGGCACAAAGATTGGGAAAGAAACTGTTTCAAAACTGGTCTATTCAAACAAATTATGAGCACAATGCAAGAGGTCGGATCTGGGTCTTGTGGCAGCATAATGTGAGATTGAGTCCTTTCTACAAGAGTGATCAAATAATCACTTGTTCGGTGAAATTGGAAGATCAGGTTGAGGAATTTTTCTGCTCTTTTGTGTATGCCTCAAATCTGGTGGAGGAAAGGAAGGTTTTATGGCAGGAAATGCAAGATCACTATGACTCTCCGATTTTCAAGCATAACCCGTGGCTTATTATGGGACATTTCAACATAACTCTGGATATGGCGGAGCACTCGAGAGTTGACGATAATCCTTTGGTCACGTTAGGGATGTGGGATTTTCAAAGATTGGTGAATTATTGTTCTATCTCTGATATGGCCTCTCATGGTCCTATCTACACTTGGTGTAACAAGAGAGAAAATGATTTAATTCAAAAGAAGTTGGATAGAGCTTTGGTAAATGATGGGTGGCTAAGAGCATTCCCACAGGCGTATAGTGTATTTGAGGCAGGAGGTTGCTCAGATCACTTACGATGTCGGGTTATGCAAATTGGTGGAGGAAACAGTCCCAAACTTGGCCGGAAACCTTTCAAATTTGTTAATGTCTTAACGGAGATGATGGAGTTTTTACCACTGGTTGAGGATCACTGGAAGGAAACAGAGGAGCTGTTCTTGTCTACATCAACTCTGTTCCGGTTTTCTAAAAAACTAAAAGGATTAAAGCCGAAATTGCGGAATCTCGCAAAAGATCGCGTCGGGAACTTGATCAAGAAGTCAAAGGAGGCATACGAGATTTTTTGTCAAAAGCAACAAGCCAATGCGACAATATCAAGTAGTCTTACAATGATAGAAGAAAATGAAGCTTACAGAGGTGGGATAAAGTCGCTGATCTAGAGGAGAAATACCTAAAACAAAAATCAAAATTACATTGGCTAGATGTGGGAGACAAGAACAATAAAATGTTCCATAGAGCGGTTGCAGCCCGGGAAGCGCTAAATAGTATAAAAGAAGTGGTGTGCCCAGATGGAAATGTGTTAACAAAGGAGGAGGATATCAAAGCTGAGGCTGAAAGACACTTCAGGGAATTTTTGCAACATGTCCCAAGCGATTTTGATGGCACATCGTTAGAGAAACTTCAGCAATTAATGTCGTTTCGCTGTTCAGAAGAGGACCAGCAACTCTTAATTCGTTATGTCTCGGGAGAAGAGATCAAGAAGGTCTTGTTCGCAATGCCAAATGATAAATCTCCGGGGCCGGACAGGTACACATCTGAATTCTATAAGGCTTCTTGGACGTTGATAGGGAAAGAGTTCATATTGGCAGTCCAATCTTTTTTCGCAAAGGGTTTTCTCCCAAAAGGTATAAATGCTACAATCCTAGCTCTAATTCCAAAAAAGAAAGGTGTGAAGGCGATGAAGGATTTTCGTCCTATATCTTGTTGTAATGTGATATATAAAGTGATCTCCAAGATCATTGCGAATCGACTCAAGGCTGTACTCCCCAATTCTTGGTTATGGAAGAAATTGATCAAATACAGAGACATGGCTAAACAGTTTTGCAAAGTGGAAGTCGGTAATGGGGAGACTACATCCTTTTGGTATGATAACTGGTCGTCTCTAGGCAGGTTGGTGGAGACTGTTGGCGCTCGGGGTTATATAGATATGGGGATTAGCAAGTCAAGCTCTTTGGCGGCTGCCTGGACAAACCGGAGACGTAGAAGACACAGAGTTGATCATTTAAACGCTATTGAAGACGCTTTGCACCTGCAGCGCCAAAAGCGAAATGACAGGGACGACAAAGCTCTTTGGCGAGGGAAGCAGGATATTTTTTGACCAAAGTTCTCAACCAAAGATACGTGGAATCATATTCGTACAACATCTAATACAGTCTCTTGGCACAGAGGAGTTTGGTTTGCTCATGCAACACCAAAGTACTCATTTTGTGTATGGTTGGCTGCTCATAATAGACTCTCGACGGGTGCACAAATGGTAAAGTGGAATCAAGGGACTTCAGGTACCTGCATCTTTTGTCAGAATCATTTGGAAACAAGAGAACATCTTTTTTTTCTCTTGTCAGTACGGGTCTCTAATTTGGACAGCCCTCGCAAAGGAACTCTTGAAATCTAACTTCACCACAGATTGGTCCCTCATCCTCGACTATATCTCAAACCAGCACCTTGACCGAGTGGAGGCTTTCCTCATCAAATATGTGTTCCAAGCCGCAGTTTACACGATTTGGAGAGAAAGAAATCAAAGAAGACATGGGGAGGACTCGCAACCGGCGGACAGACTCATCATTTGGATTGATAAGCAGGTAAGGAACCAAATATCGTAAATCCGTAAAGGAGATAAGCGATATGAGGCAGCCTACCAAGCCTGGATCACAGCTCACAGCTAAATTGCCTTTTCTTTTTTCTAGAAAGTTTCAGCTCTTATTAGCATATGTATCTCAGAATCCCGACGCACAAGTTGCAAAACCGTTGTATTTTTTCTTTTGAATATAATTTAACATTACATTCAAAAAAAAAAATATATATAATAATAATGTTGTAGATGAGGTAAAGTTTGGCTTACTTAAGCGTCATCAAATTCATAATGTTGCTAGTAGTGTGAGCGAGGCAAATATCGTATAAATAAATATAATGTTGAATCCATATCTATTGATCGTGTGGCTTATTGGCTACACACCGTTCTTATTAATTAAATGGCTCATGTTTCCTCGTTCGATTCCTCTTGGCTGGATAAAACAAATTTTTTTTTTTTTTGTGGAGAAGCTGTGGTGGCACGTGCGTATAAGCAGTTTTTTTGTAAGAGTGAGTGAGACATCCAACCTGCAACAATGAACTGTTCATAATAAGTTGATGATGGCAATGTGATCATAATAATAATAACAAATAAGGTTGAAAAAGCCACTACGCACCGTCTCGGTGTTCAAAAGGAAGTCGAGATACATAACCGAGGAAAGAGATTTGGTAAACTCGTCATCAAGATTAGTAAAAAACTTGGATAAGTGCCTTATCAAGGCGAGGCTTGTTCTCATTCGAGTAAAAGTTTGCCGAACTATCCCGGAGGAAGATTGTTCTTAAATTTGGAGAATCGATAATCAAAGACCCCTCCGCATATCCTTGATTATCTTCTGCTACTTCTATATGAGTATAATATAAGGTCTTTAAAGATATTTGACACTGATATTTTTCAAGTTGTCCCTACCTTGTCTAGCTAACCACACCCAAATGCTTAAGAACAGGACAACTTGAAATCCCAACGTTCATAAGTTTGTCAGTGAGGGTAGGGTGAGGTGTGAGAATAGAAAAAGAGGCGTCTTATCAAAGAAAAGAAAAAGAAGTGAAATCACAACGTTCATAAGTTTGTCAGTGAAAGTACTACAAGAAAATAGCGGTATTGCAACATAATTTTTGCAACATTCGGTTTACATGAATCATATGTCGATCATTGAATACGGTTAATTAACAGAATCTAGTGGTTCGTACATGACATATATAATCATCGGACCACTTTAAATACTTGGTTACAACAAACTGTGGATCTTTTCTCCGAGCTATATTATATATTGGGGTTTAACTGCATGGTCAAGTTACTTAAACATAAAAAAATGTCAAGTTGATGTTTGTTGATTTTTTTTTAGAAACTCATATACATGTATGTATACACAGACATGATGTGTTACAGATGATGTAAAGTTACTGTAAAAACGATTTAGTATATAGTCTCTTTTGGATCTCTACGTTATACCTAAAGATCCAAAAAATTAAGAGATTTTGAAAACATACACACAATGCTGATTACCATGATAAATTAGAAACTTACAAGTTTATTGAATTGGTGTAAAATATAATAGAAGACACAAATGATCTAAATTTCTTAAGGATGTGATATGATGATATATATAATTTTGTGACAATTTCTTGGCTTCGTAGATTTCTAAAATTTCCTAGTATAATAAATACCATTTATATAATTTATGCATTAAGTTGTAAAACTGGTTTTTTTCCTTTTTGAATATAATTTAACATCTATTCAAAAAAAAAAATAAATACCATTTATAAAGAAGAATGATATGAATTTTCATTTATATACACTCGATTTTGGTCACCTTTAATCTTTTGTCGAAACTCAGCATACTGATTCTTTAGTTAGAATCAACGGAACATGTTTCTGGCATATCAACCTCTGTAATGGACGAAGTAAAGTTTACATAATCAACTAAAAACAAACCAATCTACAGATAAAAATTATTTATCAAGAGCATCATCACACATGATGGTATGAGACGGAAGACTGTTCTAAAGAAAGTTGGAGCGAAGCAACTGACGTGAAACAGCCTACTACTAGGCCACAATAGCCGAAACCAAATCCTCCGCATGACAAAGGAACTTAACCTTCTTCAGTCCCAGCGACAAAGCGCACTCCATTACCCATCTAAGGCCTCTGCTTCAGTCATGAGCGGAGAACGTAGTTAAAGAATTTGCTCTTGTACTTCATATTTATAATAATATAAGGTAAATGTGCATAGGCTTGGTGAAAGAGACTCAAAGAGTTATTAGAACTGCAGAAGTTGCTAGGACTTAATTTAAAGGTTGCTTGTTTAAAATTGTCTAATTAATAGCTAGTTTCTAATGAATTTGTAGAATATAGGCACGATTGTTGAACTTCATTAACTTGCTTTGCTGCTCATTTTCTTTGTTTAATTTTACATGTATTTCTATAATTTCACGTTGAGAAATGAAATAATGTGAGATAATTTTATTTGTTTTTTGGCTAAAATTTTATGGTTTTATATATATCTTAGGAGTAACAAATACCTATCTAAGAAAGAAATAATAGAAATGAAACGGTTTTTTGACGTGCATAGAAATGAAACGGACGTCAGC